CTGGTAGGTTTTACTTCTTTTTTTTTTTCTCTCCGTCTATGGTCTCAGTCTGTATTTCTTTATCCTTCAAATAAATAACCGTTACTGCTTCGATGATATGCTTCTCTTTGGACTAACAGACAAACAAACAGACTTGAAGTAAGTCTGTCTACGGTCCATGCGATGACGGCAAAGTCTATTGCCCTCAAATCGCTTGGCGGGTGGTGGTTGGAGGGCGCCACTGGTAGGTCCTACTTCTTTACTATCCCTCCATTGTTTCTGTCTCTCTGTCTTAATTTTTCCCAGCTCTAAATGGCCATTATTGTGTCGATGTGCTTCTATTTACTCAAAAAATCAAATCACTTGAGTTCGATTCCTGCATGGGGAAATCTCGAGTATTTTCGAACCTCTTTGTTCATTGTTTATTGTTTCAGGAAGCAACATCCCTGCACTACAGACATGTCAATTGATGCTCCGTTGCTCTCTCCAAAATATCGCCGAGGGTCTTTCCACTGATTGTGCCAGTGGATATCTGGTTGAACGTTCTTCTGTTCTTTCCTGCAAGGATGCCAGATTTTCCGTTTCCTTTTTGTATTCCCAAAAGCACCATCCTCTCCACGGCAGTACTGGCCTCTGCCTCCCTATCTTCCCCCTCAATTAGCTGGCGAGAGAGACATTTCAGGATCTCGACCCTATCTGGTTGAACCGTGCTGACAACTGAGGTGGCCTCACCAGCCAGTCTGTCGGCTTTTTCATTTCCCCTAACACCTTCATGGCCAGGGCAGAACATCCATGTGAGCTATCGTATAGGCGTTTGTTTGGTAACTTGAATCCATTCTGTTCTCAGGAAACCCTTTTCGATCCTTCTGAGGGTACACATGGAATCAGTGATAAGAACAACATAGGTTGTGTGAGGGCGATCTTGGGTCATCCAATCAAATGCTTTCGTGATGGCCTTCCGAACCTCTGGTGGCCTGAATCCCCGGTTACGCGCAACGATAAATTGTATCAGATTCGTCGTATGCGAGAACTGTCCGTTTTATTGAACTGTGTCGTCTGCTTATACGTTCCAATCTATCGTCCAGTTTTCTTTCAATCGAGTAGATTGCTCGTCATTGGCTTTAAGCCACCATGCCTCTTACGACGACAGCGATTTGCCTGCACTCTAGGACTCATGGGAAAGTTTCGAGCCCGGGACCTAATATATGAAAGGCGAACACGATCACGAGAGCCCCAACCCCATCCACTGTACTTTTAGATAAAAATCAGAACAGTGTCTTTAGAAAAGGGGGACCATGCTGTGCAATGTTGCGTGTAGAAGTTGAAGCTTTGACTTGACTGCAGATGTTCAACACACCGAGTGTCCTTGATACACAACTTTCCCGTTGACGATCATTTACATAATATCGCATCAAATCAGGTTCCCCGCGAACTACTCTGCTTATTTTGAGACGCTGATTCCGAATATGAAATCAGTTTTAAGATGCAATAATTATTTTTTAAATTTTCGCCCTAAGTTTGATACTGCGCGGCAGCAACATTTTAAAGTGATTCTACGTGACAGCGCGTCTACCCCAAATCTGAATGTGATCGCGCAAAAAAATATCAAGCAGCGCTTGATTTCTCGACCAAGTTTCCAAGCCATCGCCCAATCGTCCAAATTTTGTACAATGTTGTGGTCACACCTAACGATTTATCGTATGATCGCTAGATCGTCCAGTTTTTGTACAATTTATTATTACGTGTAACTTAACTGGGTCATGACGTATCCCATTCGACCCAGGCCTTCACTGACAAGCATAGCAGCCGGCCTCCTTTATTTAAAAAAAAATTGTGTCAAAAGGGGGCGTTGAACGTTTACAATCATTGCGATCAGTTATATTATGTCTTATCACTTCTTGTGGCCAGCATCATCAACTTTATCTTCTTCACTGTCATCGTTATCGTGTTGTTTTGTTACCGATCTTGTTTAAAGAGAACAAGAGAGGGTGGTTGGGGAGCGTCACTGTATGGCAGCTTCTGTGTTGTTTCAGTCTGACTGTCTTGCTGTTTCCCTGGATTAAAAGGAAATAATTGCGTTGACGGGCTTCTCTTGCTTCAAAACAAACAAACAAACAAACAAACGAAAATGATAAATAAATAAATAAGTCAATAAATACAGAGAAGGGAGCGGTTGTTGCGGTCACGAGAAACTAAACAGGAAATTTTGATCAGTTTTTAGAGTACCAATTAAAAAACAACAACAAACAAACTTTAAAAAATCCAACTCGAAAAGCGGAACTTATCGCTTGGAAGCCTCGCTATTTGCACCGATACTTGATATGGGTGTGTGTGTGTGTGCACATTGTAAGCAAGAATCCATTGAGACAATTCTTGGCTACCATGAGATCCCTATGAAACTATAAATGTGATGCATCAGGTTGAAACCAGACGGTCGTCAAAATGATGAAATCAAAGAAACTAGCACTTTATCGCCCGTTTAGCAATTTCTATCAGATTTTTAATGTTTTTTGACTGAACACTTTAAAGGTGCCAATTTCTCGCTTATTTTACCCCTGAAACCAGGCGTCTTCCACATCATTCAGTTGCAAATATTATGTCGGCTTCCATTCAAGTTCGATGCAGTTCTTTTTTCTTCCAAAGCAAGCCAAATGAACAAACTTTAAAATAGTACCAATAACTCTACATGCCTCAAATTTGACGAGAGCCTGATTCCACCTCGTCATGACACACATCAATTCAAATTATGTATGATCCACATCAAGATCGTGTTGACTTTCAAAGTTGCATAACCCCCCAAAACTCTATTGACACAGCACTTTGTGCGTATATGTACCTCTCTGCTAGACCCGGAAGAAGAAAGGGGAGATGTGTTTGCTCTTGTGGATATTTCCAGAATACCTGATTCAAAAGCGGTTGATAGAGGACTTTCTGTTGCAAGAATAAAGGATGTTGTGTAGGTGTTCTCCAGAGAGAGAGAGAGAGAGAGA